TTTTTCAGTATTTTTCGTTTTTGACACTGTTGCACATCTATTCTCTGAATTTTTATATCTTCAATCGATAGAGCTCGAAAAGTTACTATTATGACCAAAATTTCACGTTGCGGCAAAGTTCACTTCATACCAAAGGTGCACAAATATCATAAAAAATGCCTAATTTTAATGGTAATTCGTGTTTATGACCCTGTTGCACAGCTTTTTTCTTGTTTTTGAAATCACCAGCTAATAGAGCTTGCAAAATTACCTCTAAGCGGAAAATTTGAGGTTGCGGCAACGTTCATGTCTCAAAAAGTCTATAGGACAAAAATCGATTTTCACATAAAAGAGCGAATTTCTACCCCAGAATCCCTATCTGTTTTTCAAGGATAGCATTTTCGCGTCATAAACACTTTAGATTCATGAAGTACTCAAAATTTCAGCTAGGAAAAAGTATTTTTTGTGAATTTTTAAAGGATGACTTTCGCATAGGGATCGAAACAATGAAAAATAGGGTATGTGAGGTGGTCAGGACCATTTAAGGAAGATAATATTTTCTGGTAATTTTATTTTGATTTTCGTATTCAGCATCCTTCAATCTATAGTCTTATTTGGTTTTGACTCGAGAAAAAGAAATTTTTTTTTCCATGATACCTGAGGGGTACCCCAGGGACAAAATCCATGAATGTGATTTTCTCGGGATTAAAGTTGAAAAATATGATCAGGGTTGAATGCTTATTAAAGTCTGATAGAAATAAATGAGTTTTGATGGGGGCCGCAAAATGGCCTTATCCGCCCTTGTCCTTTAGTAAAATCTGTGGACTTCAAATTGTCTGAGCCAAAATGTTTATCGATAAAGAGTTTCAAAGTACATGCACAGTCATAACACATTGCTGCAGGTAATGGACCAAATCGCAATATGGTTAATATATGATGAAGAACTCATCTCACTATTATTATTTTTTAAAAATTTATGTTATCTATAATGAAAAATATAGATAAAATCTTTATACTCACTTCCTTCTGAGCATGGTTCTTCAGTGAATCCAACAGTAACTGAACAATTTCAGAAAGTAGCTAAAAACCCATATGAGCTTATCTTAGATTTATTATTGATTCCTGATCTGAACACATTACACAAAGCATCATTATAGCCGCCATCTTAATCAATGTATTGAGTTAATGCTAGTTTATCTAGAGTTGTTTCTTTATTCTTATGAATTATCTGATGCATTGTAGGCGATGATACTGTTGATGCCTGATGATGTTGACAAAATCTGTGGTCAACATTAGGAGCTATATAAATAAAATAAAATTAGAAGAAATTATTACGGACGAGAGAGAAATGCACAATCTGTTGCTAAATTGAAAATAAATCTATTCCCTCATCCTCTTTATCACAATATTATGAAAAAAAAGCAACAGTTAACATCGTCAGTATTGATATTCATTAACTATAAAAAATCTCGAAAATGTAGCTAGTTCGTATATAGCATGAACTTATATATGAAAGAGGAGAAGAGAAATCGTTGAGCATTAAAAAAAAGTAGAATAAGAATAGATAGATGAAATGATAGAAAGCAGAAGCTAACATACTAATAAACGAAAGTTATATTTCTATCATCAAACCATAAGAGAATATAAGATGATACAGCATAAAACATATTAGACGAGAGATGTATCAAATAGAAAATGAATACAAAAATCAAGTATACTATTCTCTATTACCAATTAGATCAAACTATCGACGTATGAAGTTTGTCTCTTTTACTGCAAAACTATCGTCTCTCTCAATTCTTCATACTAGTGATTTTTTGCCAGAAATTATTTTCTTAAAGTTTCCTCCAAAACGTGCTGTCATTCATAAGTGAACTCTGTACATTCAAATAGATAAATAGCTTACCTTTTCTTAGAGGAGAATATAAACATCCCATTTGAACTGATCCAAGTTCGGGTATAGTATTATCAAATACATCTTTGTATTGGCAAATGAGTCGATTAGCTTTTTGATGACCATCCACAATAAATACTTTTGAATATGTGACTGGATCACATGTTCTTGTGAACCTTTGATGTCTTGTTCAAAAGTTAACAAATTTTTCATAAAGATCTGACTTAATTATTAAAAAATAATCATTGCATTCATCAATATCACGTATAGACATTGGTATAGAGATAGATTTTTCATTTGTAGTCATAAAAAAAAATTTAACAATATTAACTAATAACCAAGTCATTTGAAAATATTTTTCATTAAGAAGTAGGCTAAGAAAAAATAAGTGAACAAACCTGAAGAATATTCAATATTAAAATTGTCTTACATGTTACAATCGATATTTGGCATAGGCGAAGATTGTTGATTTTGTCTTCCTACGATCATTTTAATTTTCGAACTTTATGCATTCATATATCCGTCAAATGATACAGTATTCTGAATTAGTTGATGGTCAAGGTCAACTAGTAAGTTTTGCTCGAAAATTTGATTTCCATTTAAATAAATATATTGATCATTTTTGATTGATTCAACTGTAAAGAATGTCCTCTCGTTATGCATGTAAAAATTAGGACATGTTTCGATGTTACAATCTTGACAAACGCAAGTGCTTATGACTATTAACGAGAATAAAGAAGTATTGATTGTTGAACGATATGATAATATTACATACGTGCTTTGAAAGTTTTTACAAGCGACATTACAGTTTTTGAACGATGAGAAAAAGTTGGTTTCAATTGTTTTTTTACATTGGATACACTCAGTTGTATCTGGTTTCAAATACAACTCATTGACACTATCAGATTCAGAAAACTTTATTTTTTAGATATTTCTGTATCATTTCATCTAATGAATGTTGCTGCAATATTTGATTATATACTGGATGTGTAGTGATGAATTTGAGCAACGTTTTAATAATATGAATTTCATATGATTTGTTGAAGTATAAATTAATTATATTCATAATATGATTGAATTTGTTAGGTAATTCCTTTGGTAAAAAGTTGTTCGACATCATAACACATATTATTTGATCAAAGCGTATCGTTCGCATCATTAAAATAAAAGCATGTTCTTCATTAGTAATTTCTACCAATATACGTGGAGATAAAAGGTGATTATCTTGATTCATTTGATTGACAAATCTAAATAAATATTTAAAAAATATTTTAAGAAGCTTTCTTTTCAATACTGATTGACTAATGTAATTGTTTTCTTTTTTCTAATGAACTAAAAGTAGGTTGACGTATGTATATTGAAAAATAATCAAATAAAAAGTTTTAAAAAATATGATTATGTTCAAGAAGAATAAAAATCAGTCATAAAATTACGTGTTTCATTAAAAAAATGTTAATAGAAGAAATGCTAAATTATTTAGTTTTTCTTCATTCTTCTTGGTTGCATGCGTCTTGGATATTCTTGAAAATTTATATTGGATTCAATTTTTCTTTTGCCACTTGCAGATAATGGACAAGTATAAACCATATCCTCATCTTCACTATTATTATCAATTATTTGTTCTTGTGACATCTCTTGTGGATTATCATTTGTTGTTGTTTCTTGAGAATTGTTCAAATGTGAGATTGGTGTCAACGATGTGTGTAATTGATTTTCTACAGCTAACTTATTAGTCATCACATCACCTGGTCGAAATCGTTGAATATTGTATCGTACGTGTTCTTTGTAAAATATATTTGATTGAAATATTTCAATGAGCTCATCTAATAATGTCCAATTGTTGTTTGTAAAAATATTCTCATTTTGATGAGGATAAAATGATTTCAAAAAATCATCGTAAGTAAGATTTACCTGAAAGAAATATTAGATTCTGATCATTTGGAAAGACTTTCGAATTAGTAAAACATGACTATTTACGTGTTTTTGTAGGGATTGTAGAAAATCAAATTTTGATACAGTTGAATTAGAAGATGGGCAATTTCTACAAAAAAAAGATCAATAATAAATGAAAACAATCTTATCAAACGACTCATAGTTTAACCATCCTGGACGAAATATACGTTTAAAATCTTTTTTTGTTTCTTTTCTTGCACGAGTTGGTTCGACCCAAAAGTTATCTTCATATCGAAGCAGATTAGCTTCAACTAAACGTTTTACTGCTTCTAGTCGAATATGTGGTTTGTTACATATCATGATTAAATCTGTCTTGGTATAAATCACAGATTTTCCAGTCGTTATATTTTGCATGACTTTTTTAACTGTTTGTTCGGTTACTTTTTCATGTTTATTGATGACTAAATTAATCAAGGAGAAAATGACTAATTGAAGAAAAAAAATTAAAAACTTACTCTCTGCTACGCTTTTGTGTGTTGATATATCAGAATATTCAGCTCGCACCATCAACTAGTGTTTCACGTATTGTTATAGACGAATTATGAATATCCCCTATTAAATCATCTCCTTCAGCCGTGAAAGTTTCTATAAAGAACGATAGGTAAATGTAGAGAATTAATAAATTCAAGAATAATTTACCTGTTATATCAGTATCCCGTCGATTACACGATGTTTTTATTGAGCTATCACGTTGTGTTTCTTGACTTTTTTCAACTGTATCATGAAAAACATTGACTATGGGTGCTGTTGTATGTCTAGATTGTATTGGTGATTTATTTGCTTGATTTATTATATTCAGAGATTGACATTCACCGTTTACTTGATTTGGTTGAGCACCTAAAGCTAAACTTTCAATTTGATGAAATTGACGAGTAAATGCATTTGCATTTTGAATAATAAAATTTCCTTGTTCAACTTCTCGAATAACACAATTTTCAATATGTTTTCGAATTACAATATTTAGTTGGACTTGATATTTTGAATATTCATTTACAAAATATGCAGTATGTTCAAAGATTTCTGATGTTAAATTTGAAAGATTATTATTTGGTGGAATTGAAGATGATTCATAAATGGAAGAATATTCACTAACATCTATGTCATGTTTCACTAAGTTTTTGATAAATTGATCTCGTGTCGGGTCATCACCTGGTAGCAATGGTGCTTTCATATAAGATTTTACATTTCGACCACGAGTATCAGTTAAAAAATAATTAAATTTGAGTAAGTGATAATTCATTAGTTCTTGAAGTGCTCGTTCACCTAACGCTGGTCTATTCTTAACTATACCTCTAGAAAAGAAATAGTATACAAATTAATCAATCGATTAAATGGAAGACTAATGTACAAACGTTTTTTCTGTAATGGGATGTTTAACACTTATTGCTGATAATGGAAAAATATTGAAATCCAAAAACATTATTAATTGTTTTAATGTTTTCTGTTTAGGTGAAATTGATGATGATACAATCATTGATTTACTTGGAAAATCATGATCAATTGTAAATAATTTTGTAGCTATGTTTAAGTGATGTTCATACCAACTCCATGCTGCTAATATAGTTTATTTTTGAACAAATATCATCGGATCTACTACTTCTTGATTACCTTCTGTACATGGTAAATATTTTTTGTCATTTTTATAATAATCTTCTTTTATTATCATATCTACATTCCTCACGAAATCCTCATTGATGATCAAATCCTGATTATCACCTTCAGCAAATACAACAAAATCTTTAACACGTTCAAGTATTGCGGTAGCATTAATATACAGTTGCATTAAGCATGCTAATCTAGGGAAGGTTGTACCAGTTTTACCATAGAAATCTGTAATTTGTTGCTGTTGATTTTGTATCTGATCTTGCGTTTCAATCAAATCAGCAACTAAATTCCATAATGTGAACATGGCAGAACGAGATTGTTGTGTTTGTTCATCTTCAACTTGTGGTGTTGATGGTTTATCAACGCAAAATTTTGTACGTTCAGCTTCTGACATTTCAAAAACGAATCGTACGGTACCAAATAAATGAATGATCACAGATAGGTGAGCAAAAGTTGGATTGTTTTTAGAATTCATGTTTACCTGAAAACTACAAGTAACAAATCTAAATCGGTGCATCTATCATCATCTAATGATGGTTTTACTCTTGGGGTCTTGAATAAGCCAATTTGGGAATGCTCATGTATAAGAATCTATTATGAGAACTGTCAAATCCAGTAAAATTTATCCAATTTTTCATGCTTTTAAATAGTTTACCACCAGTAGTGGCAATGGCAATTGTCAATCTCTTGTCGTCAATCTGTATAATTGTTGTTCCTGTTGTTCTTGATGAATTACTAAATCTAACAATAGTGATATATGATCAATATTTTCCTGTTCTAATCTTTTTCTACCCATCATATCCACAAAGTATGATATTTCGTTCATGTTCTTTCGTGTAGTCATTTACGTTATAAAATCCATAAGTCTCAGCAATAAGATCTGCATCATCGTTTAACAATATTTTATTATTGGACGAAAGATGCTGTCTCAATCGAATATGGTTGGTGTGGGTAATGATAGATGATAAATCCGATTCGGTTAGTTTACCGTTCACTATAATAGGTTTTAGCTATGTTGATGGAAACATTTTTTCAGTTTTTGTAATAGCTTTTTCAAGTTGTCTGAATGTATGTGTTTTACCACTTCCTTGAAAATCAGAAAAGAAGGTATGATGGAAAGAGGAAGGAAGAAACAGGTAAAACAAAAAAACAGCACATGACAAGAAAATCTTTGTATGATATACTCAACAATACAACTCAATATTCTCAACCATATGAAAAACCTTTATTTAATGAAATGTCAAGATATTGCAAAGCTAAACTAATATTTATTTTCTTTTAATAAATTAACGTTTGTACAATAAAACAAAAGAACAAAAATTAATCCTGCACATCGGAGTTTTTAAAATATCGTACAGTAAAGAATAAATAATTATTCATCAACCTCGTTCATTTTTTTATATTCTCGATCATTCACGTTTAGTATAATCTAGACTTATTGACGAAACTATATATTATAAAAAACACATGGGATAAATAACATTTTATATGTATGTTATAGAGAGATTCACATATATCTTTTTTTCCCTCTAGATGTCGTACAGAGAACCAGTACGAGATATATATATATCATATATATCGTATACATTTTTTTTCTTTTCCTTTCTTCCATCTTTATGTATATTTCAATTGTTTTGATTGATTTTATTCAAATATTTTCTCTTTAATATGGCTGTCCTAACTCGTATCCTATGTATCACGAAAATTTTCGAAAAGAATTATCTTCTGGATCCTCGACCGGTTAAATCAATTGATTCATATATACTGTACTTTCCTACTTTTTGAAATTATGGTAACATCGTTACCACGCAACAAATTTGAATTATGCAAATAGATGCTCATTTTCTCCAACGTATTTCTACATTTCATGCTGTCAAAAACGAAAAAAAGACTATATTAAAAGTGCTGTATTAGAAAAAAATGCAACCTCTTCAAAGAATATTTGAACATACCACTGGAGCCTAGCAACCATAAATACAATTGTACTGGACGATGGTTGGGACTGGCATAATGAGTATAATAGGAAACTTGAGAAAAATGTGACATAATTGATAATGATAGGAGAAAAGATAAACAAGGTTCATAATTATATTTATCCTTGTAGGTCGTCAATAATCGCATTTGTTCGGAATTTAGAATGTTGGACATTTGAATGTTCATTTGTGATGCTGCTGCTATGTTTTTTAGAATCATTTCTAAAATTGTTTTATCATCCATAACGGGTGAACGTTTCGACATTTTCAATTACGAAATAAAATAATTATTTATATCTACAATCTCAAGAAAAATCCTCTAACTTAAAAATATGAAATTTGATAAACTGTTTGTTTTCTTTTGATTCATTAAAATACGGTTCTATTCCGTACAACTAATAAATTAAAATTTAATAGATAAAAACGATAGAATCTATTTACTTAACTAATATATTAATTGCATGATCGTTGATCGATTTGATGACAATAGCTTTTATTTAAAAGACATGATACTTAATGTGAACTTAATAGTACTTTATACAGTAGTGATAACAAAGATTACATATCACATATGAAACGCTCGACACTGAATTATATCTGATGCAGATAGAAGATATTGTTACTTGATACCCTCGATTAGCTGATATACATATGTTAAAACTATTTATTTTATTTTCTGTTTTCAGCTCTGAATATCCTTGATCTGCTGCAATATATATGGGAGTGACCAGTCAGTATGGTACCCCATTTTGATGCACTCCTATTGTAAGGATAAAACATACTATTGTTCGGGTCATATAAGAGAGAATCCTAGATAACCCTGAATTGGCCCGAACAACATCATGTTTTGTCCGTACAATAGTTGAGAACAGCTACTAGCTTATTGTGTGAGTTGGCAGCTTTTCTCTACTATTGTACGGATAAAACATGATGTTGTTCGGGCCAATTCAGGGTTATCTAGGATCCTCTCTTATATGACCCGAACAATAGTATGTTTTATCCTTACAATAGGAGTGCATCAAAATGGGGTACCATACTGACTGGTCACTCCCATATATACATATAGATGTGTGTTAAAAGCACTTTTATTCTTTTCTATCTTCAGTTTTAAATCTCATATGATACTATATTTTTTTCTTTTCTGTTTTCTATCTTCTTTATATTCTTCTCCAGCTGTTCTTAAATATTATTCTATTCGAATTCGTCATAAAAAGCAAGTCAATGAACTCTGACATCATATTAGAATACAATAAGTGGTAATAATTTTAGAAATAATTTAACAAACCCAAGAATACAGACGAACTTTTGCCTCTGCCAATTATTTACTTTTTACTATCTTATGAGCAGCTCTTTTCAGTGATAACTATCAAGATAACAAAATATAACAGATCAATCGAAGACAGCGTATTTCAAATGATACTCTGTAGATTAGTGGCTCATAACATGCACATAAGAAATACGCTCACATTTTTCTTTTATGATCAATTTTGTAGGTGCACAGAATTTGATTGATTTAATCCTTTAATAATGGCGTTCAAAATTCATTTTGAAAGTAAATATCTGATATCTGTTTTCTGATGATTCTTCGAAATTATAGGTACTATATGATATTTCGTATGTTGAATTTGAACAATAATTTTCAAATTTAGTATTAAACGTAAATATCCGATATATGCTTTCTGATATTTCTTTAAAATTATAGGTACTATATAATGTTTTATATGTTACAATAGACATTTGTTTTTAATTAAGTTGTAGAGCACACCTAGTACGATGATATCGACTCAATCCTTCTCATTATTTCTAGTTAGTAAAATTTTGAAAGTTTTGAACATTATGAAGTTTTCAAAATTTTGCCACATAAATTTTCAAAATTGGTACCAATTTCATATATTTCTCACTCGTTGCTTGTTGTTGTTATTTCGATCCGGTTTCAGGTATTTTGATGCTTATTACGTTTCACTATATGATTATCATCAGCATTAAGACTGAAATTGATGGAGATAAATCGGGAGAAAATTGAAATATGCAAGCGACAAAAGGCAGCTATTTTGTCTTATTATTCCGATTCGTTTTGACGTATATTAATGCTTACTACGTTTTATTATATGTTTGTCATGCACCTTCAGAATGAAAAAGATGGAGAGGATTCGAAACAAAATAAAAATATGGGAGCAACAAAAGGGAGCTATTGTTCTGTCATTCTCTCGACTCTATTTCAGATATTTTGATGGTTATTACTTTTTATTAAAGGATCATGATCGAAATTGGCACTGAAATAGATGGAAAGAAATCGAAACAAATGTAAAACATTGAAGGAAGGAAAAGAAGCTGTTTTTTTGTTATTATGTCGGTTCTGTTTGACGTATTTCAAGCGACATTATTTTTTTTATCTTTGTTATCTAATTTTATGGAGAAAGGTATGGAAATGAATCGAAAGAGAAGTAAATATTGCAGGTAGAAAAGAAAGGTNTATATTTTAAGAAACTTCCTTTTCAAATACTGATTGACTAATGCAATTGTTTTTTTTTTTTTTTAATGAACTATAAATAGTTTAAAATACGTATATTAAAAAATAATCAAAAAGTTAAAAAAAATATAAATATGTTCAAGAAGAATAAAAATCAGTCATAAAATTGCATGTTTCATTAAATAAATGTTAATAGAAGAAATGCTAAATTATTTAGTTTTTCTTCATTCTTCTTGGTTGTATACGTCTTGGATATTCTTGAAAATTTATATTAGATCCAATTTTTCTTTTGCCACCTGTAGACAATGGACAAGTATAAACCATATCCTCCTCTTCACTATTATTATCAATTATTTGTTGTGGTGATATCTCTTGTAGATTATCATTTGTTGTTGTTTCTTGAAAATTGTTCAAATGTGAGATCGGTGTCAATGATGTTTGTAATTGATTTTCCACACCTAACTCATTAGTCATCACATCACCTGGTCGAAATCGTTGAATATTGTATCGTACGTGTTCTTTATAAAATATATTTGATTGAAATATTTCAATTAGCTCATCTGATAATGTCCAATTGTTGTTCGTAAAAATATTCTCTTTTTGATGAGGATAAAATGATTTTAAAAAATCATCATAACTAAGATTTACCTGAAAAAAGATATCAGATTCTGATCATTTGAAAATACTTTCGAACTAGTAAAACATGACTATTTACGTGTTTTTGTAGGGATTCTATAAAATCAAATTTTGATACATTTGAATTAGAAGCTGGGCATTTTCTACAAAAAAAAACAGTAATAAAGGAAAACGATTTTAACAAAGGATTCATACTTTAACCATCCTGGACGAAGTATACGTTTAGAATCTGTTTTTGTTTGTTTTCTTGCACGAGTTGGTTCGACCCAAAAGTAATCTTCATATCGAAGCAGATTAGCTGTAACTAAACGTTTTACTGCTTCTAGACGAATATGTGGTTTGTTACATAGCATGGTTAAATCTGTCTTGGTATAAATCACAGATTTTCCACTCATTACGCTTTGCATTACTTTTTTAACTGCTTGTTCGGTTACTTTTTCATGTTTATTGGTGACTAAGTTAATCAAAGAGAAAATGACTAATTAAAGAAAAAAAATTTAAAGCTTACTTTCTGTTAAGCTTTTTTGTGTTGATATATCAGAATATTCATCTCTACCATCAACTAATTTTTCACGCGTTGTTATAGACGAATTATGAATATCACATAATAAACCATCTCCTTCAGCCATGAAAGTTTCTATAAAGAACGATAGATAAATGTAGAGAATTAATAGATTCAAGAATAATTTACCTGTTATATCAGTATCTCGTGGATCACATGATGTTTTTATTGGACTATCACGTTGTGTTTCTTGACTTTTTTCAACTGCATCATGAAAAACATTGACTATAGGTGCTGTTGTATGTCTAGATTGTACTGTTGAATTATTTGCTTGATTTATTATATTCACAGATTGGCGTTTACCATTTACTTGATTTGGTTGAGCACCTAAAACTAAACTTTCAATATGATGAAATTGACGAGTAAATGCATTTGCATTTTGAATAATAAAATTTCCTTGTTCAACTTCTCGAACAACACAATTTTCAATATGTTTTCGAATTACAATATTTAGTTGGACTTGATATTTTGAATATTCATTTACAAAACATGCACTATGTTCAAAGATTTCTAATGTTAAATTTGAAAGATTATTATTTGGTGGAATTGTAGATGATTCATAAATTGAACAATATTCATTAACATCTATGTCATGTTTCAGTAAGTTTTTGATAAATTGATCTCGTGTCGGATCATCACCAGGCGGTACTGGTGCTTTCATATAGGATTTTACATTTCGACCACGAGTATCAGTCAAAAAATAATTAAATTTGAGTAAGTGATCATTCATTAATTCTTGAAGTGCTCGTTCACCTAACGCTGGTCTATTCTTAATTATACCTCTAGAAAAGAAATAGCATACAAATTAATCAATCAATTAAATGGAAGATTAATGTACATACGTTTTTTCTGTAACAGGATGTTTACAACTTATTGCTGATAATGGAAAAATATTGAAATCCAAATACATAATTAATTGTTTTAATGTTTTCTGTTTAGGTGAAATCGATGGTGGTGCAATCATTGATTTAATTGGAAAATTATGATCAATTGTAAATAATTTTGTAGCTATATTTAAGTGATGCTCATACCAACTCCATGCTGCTACTATAGCTTCTTTTTGAACAAATATCATCGGATCTACTATTTCTTGATTAACTTCTGTACGTGGTAAATATGTTTTGTCATATTTATGATAATCTTTTTTTATTATCATATCTACATTCCTTACGAAATCCTCATTGATGATCAAATCCTGATTATCACCTTCAGCAAACACAACAAAATCTTTAACACGTTCAAGTATTGCCATAGCATTAATATACAGTTGCATTAAGCATGCTAATCTAGGAAAGGTTGTACTAGTTTTACCATAGAAATCTGTAATTTGTTGCTGTTGATTTTGCATCTGATCTTGCGTTTCAATCAAATCAGCAACTAAATTCCATAATGTGAACATGGCAGAACGAGGTTGTTGTGTTTGTTGATCTTCAGCTTGTGGTGTTAATGGTTTATCAAATGATACTGTAAGTAAGTAAATCAAAACTTAGAAAACCTTAAAATCTATTACAAAGTTTTTGATCTAAATACCACCACAAAATTTTGTACGTTCAGCTTCTGACATTTCAAAAACGAATCGTACAGTACCAAATAAATGAATGATCACAGATAGATGAGCAAAAGTTGGATTGTTTTTAGAATTCATGTTTACCTGAAAACTACAAATAACAAATCTAAATCGGTGCATCTGTCACCATCTAATGATGGTTTTACTCTTGGGGTCTTGAATAAGCCAATTTGGGAATGCTCATGTATAAAAATCTGTTGTGAGACCCGTCAAATCCAGTAGAATTTATCCAATTTTTCATGTTTTTAAATAGTTTACCACCAGTAGTGGCAATGGCAATTGTCAATCTCTTGTCGCCAATCTGTATAATTGTTGTTCCTGTTGTTCTTGCTGAATTACTAAATCTAACAACAGTGACATATAATCAATATCTTTCTGTTCTAATCTTTTTTTACCCATCATATCCACAAAGTATGATATTTCGTTCATGTTCTTTCGTATAGTCATTTACGTTATACAACCCATAAGTCTCAGCAATAAGATCCGCATCATCGTTTAACAATATTTTATTATTGGACGAAAGATGCTGTCTCAATCCAATATGGTTGGTATGGGTAATGATGGATGATAAATCCGATTCGGTTAGTTTACCGTTCACCATAACAGGTTTCAGGTATGTTGATGGAAACATTTTTTCAGTTTTTGTAATAGCTTTTTCAACTTGTCTGAATGCATGTGTTTTGCCACTTCCTTGAAAATCAGAAAAGAAGGTATGATCGAAGGAAGAAGGAAGAAACAGGTAAAATTAAAAACAACATATGATAAGAAAATCTTTGTATGATATATGCAACTATACAACTCAATATTCTCAACCATATGAAAAACCTTTATTTAATGAAATGTCAAGATATTACAAAGCTAAACTAATATTTATTTTCTTTTAACAAATTAACGTTTGTACAATAAAACAAACGAACAAAAATTAATCCTGTACATCGAAGTTTTTAAAAAATCTTACAGTAAAGAATGAATAATTATTCATCAATCTCGTTCATTTTTTTTTTTAATATTTTCGATCGTTCACGTTTAGTATGATCTAGACTTATTGATGAAACTATATATTATAAAGAATACATGGAATAAATAACATTTTATATGTATGTTATAGAGAGATTTACATATATCTTTTTTTTCCTCTAGATGTCGTACAGAGAACCAATACGAGAGACATATATATATCATATGTATTGTTTTTTTTCCTTTCTTCCATCTTTATCTATTTTTCAATCGTTTTGATTGATTTTATGCAAATATTATCTCTTTAATGTTGTTTTCCTAACTCGTCTCCTATGTATTACGAACATTTTGGAAAAGAATTATCTTCTTGATCCTCGACCTGTTAAATCAATTGATTCGTATATACTGTGCTTTCCTACGTTTTGAAATTATGGCAACATCATTACCACCCAACAAATTTGCATTATACAAATAGATGCTCATTTACTCCTACATATTTCTACATTTCATGCTATCAAAAACGAAAAAAAAGGCTATATTAAAAGTGCTGTATTAGAAAAAAAATGCAACCTCTTCAAAGAATATTTGCACATACCACTAGAACCTAACAACCATAAGTACAATTGTACTGGACGATGGTCGGGACTGGCATAATGAGTATAATAGGAACCTTGAGAAAAATGTGACATAGTTGCTAATGATAGAAAAAAAGATAAACAAGGTTCATAATTATATGTATCCTTATAGGTCGTCAATAATCGCGTTTGTTCTGAATTTAGGATGTTGGACATTTGAATGTTCATTTGTGATGCTGCTGCTATGTTTTTTAGAATCATTTCTGAAATTGTTTTATCATCCATAATGGGTGAACGTTTCGACATTTTCAATTACGAAAATAAAATAATTATTTGTATCTATAATCTCAAGAAAAATATTTTAACTTAAGAATATGAAATTTAATAAACTGTTTGTTTTCTTTGGATTTATTAAAATACAGTTCTATTCCATAGAACTAATAAATTTAAATTTAATAGATAAAGACGATAGAATCTGTTTACTTAACTAATATATTAATTGCATGATCGTTGATCGATTTGATGACAATAATTTTTATTTAAAAGATGTGATACTTAGTGTGAATTTAATACTACTTTATATAGTAGTGAAAACAAAGATTACATATCACATATCAAACACGACGATGAATGATATCCGATACAGATAGAAGAGATTACTTGATGCCCTGGATCAGCTGATATACATATGTTAAAATTATTTTTTTTCTTTTCTGTTTTCATCTCTGAATGTCCTTGATCTGCTGCAATGTATATATATACATATCTATGTGTGTTAAAACGACTTTTTTCTTTTCTATCCTCAGATTTAAATCTCATATGGTACTATATTTTTTTTCTTTTCTGTTTTCTATCTTCTTTATATTCTTGTCCAGCTGTTCTTAAATATTATTCTATTTGAATTCGTCATAAAAAGGAAGTCAATGAATTCTAACATTATATTAGAATACGATAAGTGCTAATCATTTTAGAAATAATTAACAAACCCAAGAATAAAGACGAACTTTTGTCTCTATCAATTTTTTACTTTTGACTATATTATAAGTAGCTCTTTTCAGTGATAACTATCAGGATAACAAAATATAGCAGATAAATCAAAGACAACGTATTTCAAATGATATTGTGTAGACTAATGGATCATAACATGCACACAAGAAATATGCTCAGATTTTTGTATTATGATCAATTTTGTAAGTGCGCAGAACTTGATTGATTTCATTCTTTAATAATGGTGTTCAAATTTAATATTGAAAGTAAATATCTGATATCTGCTTTCTGAGAATTTTTTAAAATTATATGTACTATATGATGTTTCATATGTTATGGTTGAGCAATAATTTTCAAATTTAATATTGAAAGTAAATATCTGATATCTGCTTTCTGATGATTTTTTTAAAATTATAGGTGCTATATAATATGTCATATGTTATATTTGAAGAATAATTTTCAAATTTTCATATTGAAAGTAAATATCTGATATCTGCTTTCTGATACTTTTTTAAAAATATAGGTACTACATGATGTTTCATATGTTATATTTCAAGAAGAATTTTCAAATTTTCAGATTGAAAGTAAATATCTGATATCTGCTTGTATGGTCAGTATAAATATAAGTGGTAGGGTTTTAATGATTCAATAGACATTTGTTTTTAATTAAGTTGTAGAAGACAGTTAGTACGATGATATCAACTCAATGTTTCTCATTATTTCTAGTTAGTAGTATTCTAAAAGTTTTGAAAATTTTGAAATTTTGAAATTTTGAAATTTTTGGCATATAAATTTTGAAAATTAGTAACAATTTGATATTTGTCACTCCTTGGCTTCAAAACTTAATTAAAAACAAATGTCTATTGAATCATTAAAACCATACCACTTATATTTATACTGACCNGTTTTAAAAAATATGATTATGTTCAAGAAGAATAAAAATCAGTCATAAAATTACGTGTTTCATTAAAAAAATGTTAATAGAAGAAATGCTAAATTATTTAGTTTTTCTTCATTCTTCTTGGTTGCATGCGTCTTGGATATTCTTGAAAATTTATATTGGATTCAATTTTTCTTTTGCCACTTGCAGATAATAGACAAGTATAAACCATATCCTCATCTTCACTATTATTATCAATTATTTGCACTTGTGACATCTCTTGTGGATTATCATTTGTTGTCATTTCTTGAGAATTGTTCAAATGTGAGATTGGTGTCAACGATGTTTGCAATTGATTTTCTACAGCTAATTTATTAGTCATCACATCACCTGATCGAAATCGTTTAATATTGTATCGTACGTGTTCTTTGTAAAATATATTTCATTGAAATATTTCAATGAGCTCATCTGATAATGTCCAATTGTTGTTTGTAAAAATATTCGCATTTTAATGAGGATAAAATGATTTCAAAAAATTATCATAAGTAAGATTTACCTGAAAAAAAATATTAGATTCTGATCATTTGGAAAGACTTTCCAACTAGTAAAACATGACTATTTACATGTTTTTGTAGGGATTGTATAAAATCAAATTTTGATACATTTGAATTAGAAGCTGGACAATTTCTACAAAAAAAGATCAATAATAAATGAAAACGATTTTATCAAACGACTCATACTTTAACCATCCTGGACGAAATATACGTCTAAAATCTTTTTTTGTTTCTCTTCTTGCACGAGTTGGTTCGACCCAAAAGTTATCTTCATATCGAAGCAGATTACCTTCAACTAAACGTTTTACTGCTTCTAGTCGAATATGTGGTTCGTTATATATCATGGTTAAATCTGTCTTGGTATAAATCACAGATTTTCCAGTCGTTATATTTTGCATGACTTTTTTAACTGTTTGTTCGGTTACTTTTTCATGTTTATTGATGACTAAATTAATCAAGGAGAAAATGACTAATTGAAGAAAAAAAAATGAAAAACTTACTCTCTGCTACGCTTTTTTGTGTTGATATATCAGAATATTCAGCTCTACCATCAACTAGTGTTTCACGTATTGTTATAGACGAATTATGAATATTCCCTATTAAGTCATCTCCTTCAGCCGTGAAAGTTTCTATAAAGAACGATAGGTAATTGTAGAGAATTAAAAGATTCAAGAATAATTTACCTGTTATATTAGTACCCCGTCGATTACACGATGTTTTTATTGAGCTATCACGTTGTGTTTCTTGACTTTTTTCAACTGTATCATGCAAAACATTGACTATGGGTGCTGTCGTATGTCTAGATTGTACTGGTGATTTATTTGCTTGATTTATTATATTCAGAGATTGACGTTTACCATTTACTTGATTTGGTTGAGCACCTAAAACTAAACTTTCAATTTGATGAAATTGACGAGTAAATGCATTTGCATTTTGAATAATAAAATTTCCTTGTTCAACTTCTCGAATAACACAATTTTCAAAGTTGTTTTCGGATTACAATATTTAGTTGGACTTGATATTTTGAATATTCATTTACAAAACATGCAGTATGTTCAAAGATTTCTAATGTTAAATTTGAAAGATTATTATTTGGTGGAATTAAAGATGATTCATAAATGGAACAATATTCATTAACATCTATGTCATGTTTCACTAAGTTTTTGATAAATTGATCTCGTGTTGGGTCATCACCTGGTAGTGATGGCGCTTTCATATAAGATTTTCCATTTCGACCACGAGTATCAGTTAAAAAATAATTAAATTTGAGTAAGTGATCATTATTAGTTCTTGAAGTGCTCGTTCACCTAATGCTGGTCTATTCTTAGTTATACCTCTAGAAAAGAAATAGCATGCAAATTATTCAATTGATTAAATGGAAGACTAATGTACATACGTTTTTTCTGTAATGGGATGTTTAACACTTATTACTGATAAGGGAAAAATATTGAAATCCAAATACATTATTAATTGTTTTAATGTTTTCTGTTTAGGTGAAATTGATGGTGATACAATCATTGATTTACTTGGAAAATCATGATCAATTGTAAATAATTTTGTAGCTATATTTAAGTGATGTTCATACCAACTCCATGCTGCTAATATAGCTTATTTTTGAACAAATATCATCGGATCTACTACTTCTTGATTACCTTCTGTACATGGTAAATATTTTTTGTCATTTTTATAATAATCTTCTTTTATTATCATATCTACATTCCTCACGAAATCCTCATTGATGATCAAATCCTGATTATCACCTTCAGCAAATACAACAAAATCTGTTGTGTTTGTTCATCTTCAACTTGTGGTGTTGATGGTTTATCAAATGATGCTGTAAGTAAGTAAATCAAAACTTAGAAAACCTTAAAATCTATTACAAAGTTTTTAATTTAAATACCACCGGAGAATTTTGTACGTTCAGCTTCTGACATTTCAAAAACGAATCGTACGGTACCAAATAAATGAATGATCACAGATAGGTGAGCAAAAGTTGGATTGCTTTTAGAATTCATGTTTACCTGAAAACTGCAAATAGCAAATCTAAATCGGTGCATCTATCATCATATAATGATGGTTTTACTCTTGGGATCTTGAATAAGCCAATTTGGGGATGCTCGTGTATAAGAATCGGGTGTGGGTGTGGGTGTGCATGTCATTAGTATGCTAAACCACACATATGCCACCGACAAAAACCACACCCACACACTCACACCCACCCACGCCCACACACCCGCACACACACCCACCCTCACCTACACCCACACCTTTAGCTTTAATTATTTTTAAAATGCGGCATAGACACAACTAATTTAAGTTTATTGAAGTTCTTTCCTTTTTACTCGATCCACTCCATATAAAGATAAATCCTCCATATAAGCAGCTTAAATATCTACCAGAGTCTGTTTGTATTACAGTGTCATATACGTTCCGGTGCCGTTATTTTAAAAACCAACAATTGAGTATGATGGGCCTTTTCTCATGGATGTTTCTTCAAGAACGAAAAGTCGAGGACGTTTTCTTAAAGGAGACGAAAAATGGAAGACATTTCTTAAAGAACATTCTATCTTGTGTTTGGTTTTTCTGGTATACAAATTTTCGATTCAGTTGATCAAGCACAGAGAAACTCATATTTTTAAGTCTAAATTAGCGGCAACAACATAGGAATGGTGACGGTTTCACTATTTATCATTTCACGATTTGGTTTAGATTTCATTTATGTATTACTCAGAGTATCCGGTTGAGTCTTTTTGTGAAGTCTAAACTTTTTAATTCTTTTGTGCCTGGGGTCCCCTTCCCTGCCCTCTCTCCGCTTCCCCTGGGATCGAAAAGAATTTTTTGCCTTTAATTCTGGCTTCATATAGTTATTTCATAGAACTCTTTCTGATGATCACGAATATCATATCTTTATCAAGACTTACTTGAGTAATACGAAAACTATCAAGTAGTTTCCCTATTTTGGTGGCATAAGATTTTAACTAGGAAATAATGTTGTTTGACTCATATGTCTTTCTAAAGTTCTCTTTAGAGTGTTGAAGTGACTTCAGTATAAGTCAATTTTTTGTCATCTATCTAGATCTGGAAGAATTTTCAAGCATATTACTTGTATTCTTTTGATAATAGAATGTTTTGAGGCTCAATTTTGTGTTATATTTAAGAGTTTATCAAGAGTTCATATAGGGTAGTTTCATAAAAGCGGTTCCATCTTCTTCGAAACTTAAAGTGAATACATAATTTCATCGACTCTTTCTAACAAACATAATTTTATCAGGAAAAAAGATAGACCAGATATATCGAGAGAACTCAGAAGGCAGATCTGCTGCTCACAAGCCATTGATTTAGTCTCAAAACACCCATGCATTCAATTGAACAACACAAAATAGAACTCGTTTTTTCATTTAAAAAGTAACTGAAACCCTCGAGAGAGTATTTTTGTATTAGAAAATCTGTCATTTTTTCTATTTGAAAGGCGTTTAAGGTTAGGAAAGATTTTTACGGCCGATGATTGAGTCATATAAGCATTTAGAGCAGAGAGGTCTTCATTTGTTTCTTATTGTTCGATCAAACTTGGATGAAACTATGATATTCGTGATCAGCACAATGAGTTCTATCGGAATAACTGTCAAAAATCAGAATCAAAGACAAAAAGAGTTTTTTACACGATGGAGTGGAGGGGCGGACCCAGGCGCAAAAAATTGAACAGTAAAATTTTCTAAGTTTTAACTTGGCAGAAAGACTCAACGAGATACCCTGCTGAATCTACAAATTAAATCTGAAACAAATTTCGTGAAACGATGCATAGTGAAACCGTCACTCATCCTTCCTACCTAAGCAAGCAGCATGTTGACTGTCGCCCGAAAGAAATAGTCGTCTGTCAAGCGATCTTCTGTTGCGTATGAAAAAGACTAGCATATAATAATTGAAAGAGTGTAATTTTTTCTCTACAATTGATTTTTTTTCAATACGCAATTCATTCAGAATTTACTTTAGCTAAAAGTTAGAAAATTCATGTAAAACCATTTATACAAGAGAGATTTTCCTAAATTAGAGAAGCGATAGCGGTGAGCGAAAACTTCTTTCTTGGTCAGAATACGTTGTCATATAACAACACTTAATTTCATCACCCTATTACTACATCTTTCGCTCCTCTCTTACATTTCTTTGCTCGTTGTGTAGGATAATGAGCAAGTTGCCTAATAATGAAAGAATGAGAGATTTCCTTTGGCGCAATGCTCATAAATAGTGCACGTTGCTTCTTGAATGAAGATAACTCCTTTTTCTACGGACATCAGTGGCGTTGCCAGCAATTTTTCAGTCAGGAGTAGAGTCCTGCACTAGACTCTGCCTCCGATGGAGTCGGAGTTGATAGAAAGTGTTTTTTTCTAAAACATTATTTGCTGGAAATTATCCGGGGAGGAACGGTCTGGTGACAAGTAGCTTGTTGTGGGAGGTACCGGGTCACGCTGAGTTTCGTTCTTTCTTCTCTTCCTCCCCTGGTAATCACTTTTGGTACTCCGAGAATTTTCGGACCCTGATTTAGAAAAGTTTGACTCAGAAGATCTCTCGTAATGGGTCGTATCCTATGCAAATAGTTTGAGGAGTGGATAGAGATAGGCTATTACAAACCAATAGAACTACAGTTTTTGGAAACTTATTGTTATCAAAAACTGATGTTTATGGAAAAACGTTTGTTACTATCAGCTGAAAAACGGGTTCGTTCGCTTTTCTTGTACTGTCTCACAAATACACACTTCAAATTGCAAACATTTGAAGATATCATCTCAAAAAGCATCCGTAAGCACAAAAAGAACCATTAGCGAATTCAAGTGGAATAACGAGCGTTTTGATGAAAAAAAAAACCGTTAAATTGGCATTGTTGTTATCATCAGTTTAATGGAAAACATAGTCAATTGAGCTCTCCCAAGTTGACGAATACCGAGTCCGTATCACTCATAAACGCCAGAATACATTTCGTATTTCTCCATATCCAACCGTGTTTTGACGATTTACATGTCTCAGTATTACGATCGTATATCGCTGTGATCAGAAACGGAGAAATACGGTGCAAAAAGGATATCGTATTCGGACTCCGTTCACGAAGATCCTAAACCCAAGTAAAACAATCAGAAGGTAAGATCTAACAAGATCATACCTCTGATCTTATTTGATCTCCTAAGATCATACGAGAATCGTAATTAAAATCGTGGTTCCTGCAATCTTACATTAGGTCGTACTATAAGATCGTTCAAAGATCTCGATGTCTAATAAGATATTACTATAAGATTATAGGAAATCTTATCGACCGTAAGATCTTTAAGGGATCGTATAGTACAACCTGATGTAAGATCGCACGAACTACGATTTTTTTGTAAGATTTCGTCGGATCTTACACGATCTTACGTCTGGCTGCTTGGGCTGGGTGAAGATATACGATTGTAATACTGAACTATGTAATACGCCAATGTACGATGACTTACGGGCGTTTACGATCGTGCTTAAGGGTACAACGGTGACGATCATTAACCGATATGCCGTTACCGTTTCGCCGGCCCAAGCCAGTTTTCACGAAGGAAACGACTTTTTAAGAAAATAACGATTTCTTATGAAGGTTAGCGAAAGTAAATCGGGGCGGGGAATCCGAATTTGAATTCAGTTTTTCGAAATTTCGAGTTTCGATTTTCCAACAAAAAATCTGTCTCTTAAAGTCGTATTTTTCCTAGAAAGTTTTTTTCCAGGTATAAATGATTTTTTTCCTGAATAAAACGTTGTATGTTCAAAATGGAGCTCAAAATTTCGAAAAACTGATTTCAGATTCGGATTCTTCGACCCCGATTTACGTTCGTCAACCTTTATAAAAGATTGTTATTTTCTTAAAAAGTCATTTCCTTTGTGAAAACCGGCTTGCATCGGTAACCGTAGTTGGACCGATAACCGTACCTACGGTTATTGTCACCGTTGCATCCATAATCGTGCTTCTTTGACCTGGGTTCTTGATCACTTGATTATCTCACGAAAAGATACAATGTTTTTAAATGACACCACTGAGGTCTTTGTGCATTCACTTATATCAAAATTTTCCGTATTGGACATCTGATATCATTTTAGAAGACTCAGGGG